TAGACCTCAACCAAAAGTGAGGTCAACAAATATAATAATTTTAATTTCCATGTGATTAATAAAATCTCTGTTTCTTTATTAACATAACATACTGGTCATAGGTTATGTTAAAATCTTTTGTAAGTTGAGACTAAGAGTCAAAAGAGCGACGACTTCACAACTTGGATGCACTCACAATGTCAGGTTGGCTATGATAAAGTAGTTAGGCGGCGATGCAACTTTTAAAGGAAATATACTTCATGATATTTTTCTATTTGGAGCTTCTAAGTGACAATTGATGTAAGTTAATGGGTTTCATATCATGAGTTGTAAGGCCTTTTAACCGCCATCGCATCTCTGCTAGTTGTTTAAACCTAATAGAATATTGAGCTTATATATACACTCAGAAGAGGGTAGATAAATATATGTTTCTTGTTGGCACAAAAATTATTACATAATTATATAAATTCTTCTAGTGCTTATGTCATTATCTTCATTGCAAGAGGGAAGAGATTTTTATTATATAAGAACTTCCCAAAATTCAACCAGCCTACGTAGATTAGGTTTTTATTTAATTTAGTTAACTTTAATTTAAGAGTAAAGTAGTGAATTTAGTAAAATCAAACTTTTCAGAAATTTCAGGCTAAGATGAGTTATTATAAACTAGAACTTTTATTGAAGTCGTTATGAATTAACACATTTCCTCATAGGATCAATACTCAAGAGTTTTTTAAAGAAAGCTATATATTATTTGAACGATAGGTGCACTTGCGTAGTATCCCTAGGGTGAAAAATTGAATTGTGGAGAAAAATGAGAATTATTTGTTAAATGACACTCAGTCAAGAATTAAGGTGCAAACACACATGGGCAGTGGGAGTGAAATTTTTGGCGCCATTGTCTGGAATTGAAATTGAAGTAATTATGCAAACGCACATGGGCAGTGGGAGTGAAATTTTTGGCGCCATTGTCTGGAATTGAAATTGAAGTAATTACACATGAAGCACACACATATTGTCAGGATCATTATTATGGGTTTAATGTTATAATATTTTCAATAGATAGATTCAAGATTAGGAGATGTATATTTTTGGAATCCAAGAATGGTGACTTATAGTCCAATGTCGATGTGTCATGGAAATGCAGAAGAATGTAATTAACCAAGTATCAGAAGAAAGTATACATTAGAGATTGAAATTAGGAAATCATTGAGAGAATTATGTTAGATAGAATTAGGATGAAGTGAAAAAGCAATTTGGAATGGATTGGATTTTATCAAATTTGGGAAGAATTAATTATATTTAAAAATTTTGCCTTGAAAGGTTTAATTTGAAAGATTTGAGCTGAAAAATTTTGATTTAAAAGCTTGATTTGAAAATTTTCATTTGATTTGTTTGATTTGAAAAGTTTGAGTTGAAAGCTTGGATTTGAAAATTTTGGTATGAGTGAAAGATTTTAGTTGATTTTAAGATAGAAGTTAAATGTCTAACCCTAAGGTAACTATAAACTCAATAAAAAGACTAAAAAGGTAACTGATCTAAATTCAGGTATGTCGTCCCCGGTCAAAATACCCACAACTTTCTATCATCTTGCGTTCATCG